TTTGAGGTAAATTAATTTTGAATTATAGGACTTGTTAGGGTAGCATTTAATACAGGGTTAACACTACAGTACTGTATGCCCCTTTTGGTATAAAATGTGAGGGCAGATACCATTTGCTTGCACTATGAGACTACAACACTATGTGGAGAATAATTGCCTAATAAAAAAGTAATGGAGAGAGAGATTGGAAGTGGCCAAAGGAACTACCATTCATAAGAGACAAGACACCTCCTTAGTTAAGAAGAGTGATCAACAACTTGAGGGATACACTGGTGGTATATGTACAGTATATACTATACACCATATTCAATAAACTTACTGTACTGGAAAATGAAATTCCACAAACTGTGGCTGATACTGAACAATCACTTAACAGAGAAATTTTGGTGACTCTCGAGTAACTTTGCCATTTGAACGGAACATCTCGTGCATATAAATAAATTAACCCATATATGTGTGTTAATCGGTTCCCATACTTGTAATTTCCGGGGTTTGGGGTAAATACATCATCTTTGCCACGGGGATCCAAGTTAGCCCTAGTAGTAACAATTAATATCCAACAAAACCTTAGTAACTGTTCTCTGTGGATATATTTATATTGAATTTGATAAGAAAAATCTAAATCACCTAAGTGGTTCACAAACTGTAAACAGAGTTCTTACGAATGTCTAAGCCGTTGGTTCCCAACCTGGGGAGCATTTGAGATTCGGGAGGGGGGTGTGTGTGTTGAGGTGGTCAACATATGCCATTCAAATATATATTCCTAAAGATATGTATAGGTAAAAGTGCACTATAGGTTTCTCAGTTTCATGTTTTTTGTTCATAGAAAAACTGAATTTCCTCAAACATGTGAGCTTTGATGGTCTTGATTATTAATCCTATAACTATCTAGAGTTCTAGACGTCCATATGGAACTCTTGAAAATTTTTGCTCTTTGGGTATGGGAGGAGCCATGGATAAAGGGTTGACCAAAGGGGGGAACAGTGCCAAAAAGGTTGGGAACCACTGGTCTAGGCAGAAACCCCAAGTAGAGTTTGAAAAGGCTGGGGATTATGGGAGCTTCGTCTTACATACAGTACAGCAAATTATTAAGCAAATGGGATAAACAACAGCTAGTCAGGATGATGATATCATTACCAGTTATGTTTAGGTATAAGCTAAGGTTGAGTTCATACCTTCCTATAATTAGGTAGTTAACGAATCAGTGTCAACAATACGTACCAGACTCTGTCAATCTGGCCAGCTGCTGATTCAATAGGAAACCCTCCAACAATAAAATGTTGACAACACAAAAGATGATTTGCATTCTAGTGAGCTAAAAATAGTTGACCTTCATATACAGTATTAAACAATGTCATTTCATAAACAGAACTGAATATTCAACCTAAATTCTTACCTGGCTCAACCACCAGAACTTAAACTGATCTAGTTGACTACTCTATGGCCCATCACTTGTTTCTATCTCTCCTCTTTAGCCTCTCCCAGCTTCATTCTCTTACAGTGTTTGTCTGTCTACTGTTCCCCATTACCTCCACCAATTACATCTTTCCCTACACTCACTTCCATAACATAAGGAAGACTTCCAAAATATCCTGGTCATTAAACATCTCCAAATTATTCAGAAACTAAACATCCAACAACAACAAAGCTTGAGGATGAAGACTTCCATAATTTGCTTTGTCCATCACATGAGTGAATGAAAAGGAGGGCAGGTGAGGGGGTGAAAAAGATGAAGATCATTCCACCTAGAACATAATAACGAAAACCCCAAGAGAAGACAGAAAAGACCAAGAAAGAAAACAAAATATGAGGGGAAACTATTTTACTGCAAATGTGAACCAAACCACCTACTGGTGCTGCTTTGTCAGTGTGGCTCAAGAACAGCAGCTTTAATGAGCAACCCTGTAGTAATTTATTTTATGGTAACTAATACTGTCATGGACATTCATTCAAAATGGCATATGAACGTGAAGCTGGTCAACCTTTTAATTCCTTCCACCACCATAAGAAAGCAATTAAGCTAAAGGGATTGAGAATCATAAGGAACTAAGGAAATGAATTACAAAAATATACAGGAAGTTTGTAAAGCACCATTGACATGTATCACCTTCATAGTATAATCATTAATGACTGTTTTTCATTAACATACTAATTCCACAATACTTATGTCATGGACAACCTCAACCAGATGTATCTAATACTACCATAATCTATGTTTACAAAATATCAGGCAAAAAATTAACTCTATCTACGTCTTTAAGACTAAAAACAAAATGACTAAACTCAACATACAAAATGGCCGAGTAGAGATCTAGTAAAAAGGCAGGCATGAAGTAGTGCCGTCTTAATGAAGCACAGTGATACATAAAACCCTTGGCCCACAATCCAAGCAAGTTAATGCTGTACGATGTTATTCTAATGGAATAAACTTAATCAACACTTGACTTAATTTCATTAAAAAAAAATTAATGTAGGTGAAGTATATGAGAAACTGAATAAAGGTTGCATGGAATGTGAGAAGATGTGCAAGAAAAGTGTGTGTCTCAAGTGCTTGTACATTAAAAAAAAATCTCTGACAAGTACTGCTTATCATTGTAAACAGTGTCAAGTCAATGGGTGTGTGAGCAGGGAAGTGATTATGTGAAACAAAAAGTAATACAGCATTAACCATGGTATCTGAAGACTGCATCAAACAACCTGTATTATGCAGGGCTCGCGCTGCCAATCACCATTTTCGCCAATGGCAATTTTTCTATAAAGTTGAGTAATTTGAGGTGTTTTATTTCTACAAAATAGAATGTAGTGGAAATGATCTTTACACCACAAACTTCAGCTGGTTATTTGTGTATATGCATATTGAGAGGAATTACACAAAGAATTTGCTAAAGTGGCAACCATTTTACATTTTGACCAATACAGTATTCAGTGTGAGCCCTGTTAGCTATATATAGTAAATTACACATAGGATGCACACAGTTAACTATTTAGTTTGTCTGTGCAATATTGTGAACACACAAGAGGGCAGACAAGGTTGCACATTCAGTACCTCCAGTGTTAAAAAAGTATATAATTAACAGGGTGTGGTTATTTGTAAGGGAATGAAGCAAGAAACAAGTGCACATGCCTTATGATGACACACATGGGAGAGACTGCACAGTAAACATTAATAACGGGAAATGAACCAAGGATGATGAGTGGCTTAAGCAGATGAAGTTAGGTATTTGACTAAATGGTAAAATAGTGGTATCTAAATGGTCTAAAATGGGTGCCCTCCCTAACTCTGAGTATGTGTACATGTTCTTAAAAATGATTCAAAAGATAACACAGGTTCCTGCCTTTGAAGACAAGTGCAGATAACATGAGTTGCTGTTTTTTAATGTGATTATAAAGACAATGTTTAGTCAGTGTTTCTGAGAATGAATAAAGACAATGTTTAGTCAGTGTTGCTGAGAATGAATAAAGACAATGTTTAGTCAGTGTTTCTGAGAATGAATAAAGACAATGTTTAGTCAGTGTTGCTGAGAATGAATAAAGACAATGTTTAGTCAGTGTTTCTGAGAATGAATAAAGACAATGTTTAGTCAGTGTTGCTGAGAATGAATAAAGACAATGTTTAGTCAGTGTTTCTGAGAATGAATAAAGACAATGTTTAGTCAGTGTTTCTGAGAATGAATAAAGACAATGTTTAGTCAGTGTTTCTGAGAATGAATAAAGACAATGTTTAGTCAGTGTTGCTGAGAATGAATAAAGACAATGTTTAGTCAGTGTTTCTGAGAATGAATAAAGACAATGTTTAGTCAATGTTTCTGAGAATGAATAAAGACAATGTTTAGTCAGTGTTTCTGAGAATGAATAAAGACAATGTTTAGTCAGTGTTGCTGAGAATGAATAAAGACAATGTTTAGTCAGTGTTGCTGAGAATGAATAAAGACAATGTTTAGTCAGTGTCTGCATAAGAACAGAAAAACAATGTGGGTCACTCGTTATAGTGGTGAGTTAATGATGATGGCAGACATATCACTGTTTTTGAAGATATGTAAGTACAGTACAGTAGTTTTAAAAGAGGATTACAAGACAATGGAAATATCTGAGTGGTTTACTATAATGTTCACCAGGAGCTGCATGTAAATGGTGGAAAATATTAGTGAGTGAAAGAGGATGGAGCCAATGTGTCCAGCAACCAAATAATTCCTGGAGATTCCGAGTTAAAAAACGAGTAAGCTAAGAACTATTATTGTAACAAATAAAGCAAAAGACAATTAACAAACCAATTATCATATTAATGCTACTTAATTAAATTACATACCAAACAATTTTGCTGGCCTCTTATATACATTGCACACACACACACATATAAAATATATATAAAATATATATATATATATATATATATATATATATATATATATATATATATATATATATATATATATATATATATATATATATATATATATATATAAGTATATCCATTTCCCTTTCTACTTTTCATGCATATGTTTTGCCTTCTGTACTCGAAGGTTCTCACTCCTTCTCATCAATAATGTCTATTAAAATGAATCCAAATTAACAAATTCCAGTATCATATGCCTTGTAAGGAAAGACCTGTAAGGGACCATATATTTACTTCGTAAATGCCAATTATTTTGTAACTATTTGAATCTGGCCACTACACCTATGTGGGAAAACTTCATTATATTTATAAAGGTAAACTCTTCTTTCTCAAAATATTAAAGCTTTCTATAGCCCCTGCCCCACTCCCTCTTCCTTATCCAAAGTGGTCAATGACCACTCAAAAGACAGCAGAGCTGCAAGCAGAAATTGCAATTAACGTTAACTACAGTACTTTCAGTTTGCCTCCGGAATACAGATCAGAGCATATCATGTCCCTGAGATGTCCAGAGTTGCATTTAGGTTCCATATCTTTTACTGTCTAGGGTCCTGAAAGCTGAGGATAACAGTGTAACTGTGATAAGATTATATGAAAAGTGGGAAGTTACCTGAGGTGTCAAGTTCCTTAGGATGAGCCAGGTGGAGGGCAGCTGAGAGTTGGTCCAGGCTCCTGAAGCAGCAACGGCTGCAGCAGCAGCCGAATGTAAGGCACTGTTTGGGGGATTCCTATGCTGCTCTCCAGACCATGATGTTGATCTGCCAAGGGTCCCCCAAGACCCTCCTCCACTGATCAAACCGCTATTCTTTTGAACACCCACACTACCAGCAATTAGCCCTGGTGGTGGGCCACGAAGCTTGTTCCCTGGGGCACCCCACAGTTCTGAGGCCAAATTGCTGCCACCTTCATGGACAGTCTCGCTCCACGATGACCCACTCTTGCCATTGGTCCCACTGCTCAGCTTGCTGTCCCTGCCATTGGTATTTTTTTTTTCTATGCTTTAATAACTCCTAATAATTTGTTATATAAAGTAACATGTAATTGACACTACGGAGCACACAAGAAGAGTAAAATAATTTTGAAGAGGGCCAATGAGTACTGTAACTACTCTGTGGGGCCTATAGTATTTGGGAAAGCTGATATTCATTTCATGGCCAAAAATCTACAACACTATACCTTCCCAACCCCTCATTATAAAATGGTCCACTTAAGTGTTAACATCCCCACTAGGTCCAAAAAGGACTTTATTCCATCTAGGCCCATATCAAAATTAGTTGGCATGACAGTACAGGCATAGTATGGTAAATTTCAAGCAGAATTGTACACCGGAAGCTCCCTAATAAATAATTTTGGCAGTGTGACAAAGGGACAGTAAGCAAAGTCACAAAGCACATCAAAATAAAGTCCATAGGAAGTTCAAGCGTTTAACATTTCATGCAAGAATAATCAATGAAGCTCCCAAATAAATGTGCTCTGACATGGTGTGATATGGCAAGCCACAATAACATCAACATCTGATAAGTATGAGTACCAATTGACCAATCTCACTCAACAAACCCACTGGATGCTTATGTATAAATTAAATAATAACTAGACACATACAGAGCATAAAAATACAGCACAGAGGATGTAAAAATAAATAAATAAATAACCAAACAAAAATAAACATTACACAGGAACTAAATTTCATGCATCCTCTCATAATTTTGTCCTAAGTTGGGAGCTATTCTTAGTAACGATTGAGAATGAATTAATAATTGAGAATGCAACAGAGATTGCAGTAAATAAAACCTTTACATTAATAGTAAATACAACTATTAAAGAAAAACTAAGCATTATAATTTGATTACCCTTAATCATACCTCTATTGTGGCTATCATATTGACAATAACAAAACACTGACAAGATCTCTCGGGCACACACATGCTAAGTGAACATAACTGCTAGCATACCCTGACAACGGAGAGTTGGTGGTGTGGTGGCCGGGTCCTGGGTTGAAGCTCCAGGTGTTGGTGGAAAGGGAAAGGGAGGTGAGGTGGCTGGTCATTTCTGAAACAGTGTTGGTGGTCGGGGTCTTGGTGATGGATGACAACAACTCCGAGTCCTTGATGCCCAAGGACAAAGGAGAACGTGTCACTGAACCCGGCGTTATATTTGGGTCATCCTCAATATTCTTCATCTGAAAGTTAGTTGTTAAAATGTATATATATTTGAGTTATTAATATTTACCCATGAAGAAGAATACTGTATCAAGATCAAAGATTAATATATAACAAATGACCAGACCCCCCGAAGAGTTCCTCAATAAAGATAAAAGACAAGTAATGGGCGAGACGGCAGCAGTATTATAATAACAATGCCCGACCTCATAACAATAAACCAAGAAAAAAAGGGCAAGACTGAAAGAAATCTCTTACAACAAGTAAATTCACTAACAGTGTGTCACCCAATTTTCCACAAGTTAAACACTGGACTCATTAGTAGCACCAGTTTTCACTATTTTTTCATTATTGAAGGTTAATATCTGGTAAATTATTCCTTGTATGAACATTCTTTTTATCTTTATCAAGTTGTTTGCACCTTCCTTTATAAAGAATGCATCAACAGGTATTAAACAGAATTAGCCCCCCCTTTGCTTCACTCCCAAACAGACATACAGATCTGTAACCCAGCCAATAACACAATGTTTTTGACCAACTCTAGAAAGATTTAAGGAAAAATAACTTAAACAAGACATCATGAAGGTACAGTAAGTATCAGATACAGAACATCATATATAAGAGTATATCAATCACTATATAAGCTAAACTAATTTCAGGTTAAATGTTTAAAGACACTCTGGAGGATAAAAGTAGCTTCATTAAAACATTCCTGGCTTAAACTTTTATCTACTGTAGTATAATCAAATTAACTGGGTGAAGTATTATGGATGAGTGAACAAGTGTGTGGAGGGAGCAGCAGTTACTGTGTATGGTCTACAAACCTTTATGTAGTTGTTTATCCCAGTGATTTAACCCTTTAAGCTTATGGCCAGAAGATCTAGTCTAACCCTCTTGTTGGCCGACGACAATTCTCGTGGCAACTGTTGCTTTTTTATTTTACTGCCCTTTTTTAACTATTACCCAGCCCGGTAACTCCCGAGGTAAGAGTGGTCTAAGTAACTACAGCACAGTATTGATTATCAGAATTTTTGCCAAAGATTCTCATAAGTTATCTCTTCACACATTTGTACTCTTGCATCAAATATATTTTATACAACAGATAAAAGAATAATGGCTTATTTTAAAAAACAAAAATTACAAACTTGAAATACTCTTACATAAGAATAAAATTTAAACAAGCACGGCAGAATGGATAATAAAAGAAGGCGCTGATCGTCACTCCTTGTTAACCCTTTAGTAAGAATCATATGGCCAGATTCCTTTTTTTCATATCGTAACAAACATTTAGACATGGCCAGAAGTGGCTTGGACCACAACACCATATATGCTTTATATTTCTTTGGTCAATTCCAAAAATCCGTCATCCGGGCAGTCACCCATGATTTTTAACCAATTGCCACAAAAAGGTTAAGGTATTCTCGAATGAAGCATTGCAGTGTGTGGTAAGGGATTATCACAGATTTTTTTATTTTTATTAATAAAATCACTAATTTTACAATTTATATAAACACTAGCTAGATTCTTGTACAAGAAGTATATACCGAACACAATGAAATTTTTGCAGGTTTAACATAACAACGAAGTACTTTATTGATATCGGGTGTCGGGCAACTTGCAGGAACAAGAGAGAAACAGTTTACCGAGACCCGTAGTTTATGGTGAACTCACTAGAATTAATTCTCTTCATATGATGCAGGAAAAGACTTATATTTGAAAAAAAGAATTATTAAATGTAAAAAATTTAGAACATATATAAACGCTTCACAAATTTATTTTACAATTACCCTTTACCAAGAGGAAAATATACTTTATTCATTCAGAAAATAGATAAACTCTTGAACAAGTTATATACACAAAAGTGAAATACTGCAGAACCAACACAACAATGAGTCATTCATAAACAACTGTGGCCTGGTGGGATGTGGTGGATGCGAAGGGTTGTGGGTGTGCCGAGAAGGTCTGGCAACTGTCAGGCAATCTGTGTCGTTGGCCAGTGAGAGGGTTAAGGAACAATTATTCCTAATTCTCTCAGCTACCTTCAAGTTAAATAATCATTCTATTGATATAGTGATTAATAATCTTGAACTATTTTTCATATGTGGAGTGTACGTATACACTGATTTTTTTAGATTCATTTAAGAAGCTGAGGGACAAAATTAATTCTATTATAATATTTTCTGGTAGGTACTATGCTGTATATTCAATACCTGGCCAATGGCCAACACATGCAGTTTGACAACTGTGAATGAGCTCTTGTACTCAACACTCTGTAATGGGGAAGGGTTGAGCATATCCCTACAAAAAAATATATATATATATAAAATGTGTGGATCTACATGAGATATATATATATTTATATATAAAAATCTTGATTTTGGATATCCAGATGGGACTACAGCTGCTCCTTGACTTACGACTGGGTTAGGGACCCAAATCCAGGTCGTAAGTCGAAAATGCTTAAATAGTAAATAGAAAATCGAAAATGGGTGTCTCTCTCTCTTCTCAGCACCACAAAACTCTCACTTTTAAGCTTGTCAGCCATTTTAAAGTGAATTACAACCGAAAATTTAGTCAGTACACAGCGCAATCACTGACATTGGGACTCGAAAATACGTAATTTGACAAAATTTTGGTACGACTGGGGTGGTCGTATGTCCGGGTGGTCGTAGGTCGTAAGTGGAGGAGTAGCTGTATATTTGTACACAGAAACAGTGACTGAGTTACCCCAGTGTTTGGTAGGACAGTGCACAACCTAAACATTTACTTCTAACTCTAATAAACTGTACTACAACAGGTGAGCTGAGCATGTGGTCACATCCCCAATTCCTTCTCATACACTTTGTCCTAAAATTTCTACTTCTCTATAAGAGGGATTATTTCTTTTTATTATTATTATTATGAATTAGAGCCTCTGACATTTAAGAAATCCGTAGCCAGATCATCACCAAGACAAAAAATATCTAAAACATTAATAATCATAAGCACTTGACCTACTGCTTATGCCATGCACTATACTTTATGTATAATTAGTTCATTTCTTACATACCATCCATGGTTTTCCTGGTTCAAAAGGCTTAATGTCAAGGCCATAGGACCCAGAGGCATTAGCCTGTGAGGAAGCAACCCACTGCGTGTCCATGTTTGGCACCCCTTTCTCGACAACGCCACTACTGTTGTCATTGCCTCCGCTGTTACTCTCCGGCCACCCAGTCTCAGATGTGCGATTAAGAGACCAGGTACTGTAATCAATAAACACCTATATCAATGTTCAATACAATGGGCAAGCAGCAGCAAAAAATAATGCATAGTACACCAGTAATTAACTTAACAACAGTAAAACTGGGGACGTTCTGGCATTAACAAAAATATTGAAGGTGAATATAAATAAAGGTAAAGTGATGAAAATTAGTAGAGAAAAGAAAAGGAGAGAAATAAATGTTAACTTGAATGTAGATAAAATGGGAGGCTGTGGATGTCAACAAATGGAAAAACAACAGAGAAGTGAGAGGAAAGGAAGTTATTAGAGGACTGAGAACCATCATTAAAGGTGTAGAACAACTTGCCTCCACCCATCCCAGTAAAGACTACGCTCCCTTCCTTTAAATCATCTCGTAAAAAATATCTATTGTCAAGTATTAATATTTCTTGTTATACCTACTATATTTACAGTACCTGCTTTTATTGTACCATCAAAATCGTTTTATCGGAAATTATCATGTAACTAGATAAGTAATTACCATTGCAATAAACATATTTGCCAACTAGACATAATCCTGACAGCTCTGTCCTCTTGTTCAACCTTATTACTGTACAAACCATGTTGTACTGCTCCCCCATTATACTTATGTTTTCCAGTTCCACTGTAATTTATGTATATGCTTATAATAAAAATAAAAATAAATAAACAAACAAAAAATATAAATAATTAAAAAAAATATTGAAGTGATAACTGTGGTAACATGTTCTTATTACCACCATGCTATTGTATTATTCCAGATGATACTAAATGTTACATAATACTTCCTTGAGATAAATGTATAGTATATACCAGGTGCCTAAAAGAGAGCTCAGGTTCTCAACTGGCTCAGCCATGTTAATATTGTTATTATTATCCACTCTGTATCTGTGTTCTGGCTAAATAAGCTGTTTCAATTCAATTCAATATGAGAATGAAACATGGACTCCCAGATGCAGGAAGAAACAATAAATTAAAGTGACAGACATGACAAGAATGATGTGGGGTGGCTGAATTGCACAGAATAAGATACGGATAAATACAAAACGTGGTAACAATGAGTTGGGCAGAAAGACTATCGGCATCTGCTTAGGTGCTTTGGGCATAAACAATGTGAAGTGAAGCCCAGTACTCTGTAATGTACATTGAGGAAGTGTGAAAGTACTGTATGTACAGCATGCTCGTCAAATTCACGAGGCTTAGGTGCTCAAAATGCATATGTAGCATATTGGCATGATGGGGGTTTGTTGTTGTTACATTTCTTTTGTGTACAAAGAAATGTATATCCTCTTTATGCACACACGCGCATGCACACACACACAGAGAGTGGTCCCTTGGTTAACGAACTCAATTCGTTCCAGAGGGTCGTTCGTTAACCGAAACCATTGTTTCTAATATATGAGGTAGCATGTAAAAAGGCAAGTCAGTGTTCTAAAAATTCTCAAATCGATCTCAAATCAATATGGTGAGACTTCGCTTACCAATTCGTTAACGTAATTTCAATTAACGAACTGCCTTCCATAAGGATCTTCAATTCGGTTAACGAAAAAAAATTCGGTTAACGAAGTTCTTACGAACCGACCTCAACATGTTTTCGCTTGCACTGACCGGGCACCCAGCTTTAGTATCAGTCCGCCAATACATTAATCGGTTCTAGGGCTTAAATTCCTTACTATTTTAGTAAATATCAAGAAGTTTATACTATTCAATAATTTTAAAAGTTTAATATTCAATTTTTTAGTCATTTTATTAATTACTTAACATAATTGAAGGTAAAGTGACTAGTTTAATGCACGGCATCCAACACAGCGCAAAGCATATTATTCAATTGGAGGTAACATCTGTTTAGACCTTCTCTTCAATGCTTTTTCGGGGTTTTGCTAAATGATGGCTTGCTTGAAACATTAGTATATATTGACAATATATAATGGCAGTGCAGTGTTGATTTAAAGAAAATAACTTGAATTACACCAAGAGAGCTAAAATTTTATGGGTGAAATGGCGTCATGGGGTGACTTCTCTTCCACCCCAATGCCTTCTCTTCTTCCTTCTCCTCCACCCCCATTCTAAATCCCATCATCATCCAGGAGCCTTCTACATACACACCTGAAAGTAAGTGAACTTTTCTACCATTTTTGTTGAATTTAGGAAATTTTCGGTGAGCTGGAACCAATTACCCAAAAACCCATTGAAACAATGGTTTCGGTTAACGAACGACCTTCTGGAACGGATTGAGTTCGTTAACGGAGGGGTCACTGTATATATCGTACATATCCACTAGAACTCTTAAGTCACTACTGTAATGTGATACAGGTGATTATTTTTATCTCTTGTGCAAAATATATGACGTTTATATTCAAATTATTCGCTGTCTTGCAAGGATTCCAGCAATGTAAATTATATTCTCCTAACTTTAGTCTGAGATATTATATATGATTAAAACTTAAAGCCTTCTCAAACCCCCCAAACCTTTCTTGGGAAGGGAGGGAGGGGTGACAGTGACATGTTTGACAGTTGGCACCTGTGGTGTGAAGTATTTAATTGTTAATTTATGTCCTTTAGATTAAGTTTTTGTTTTTTGCTTATAAAACTTAATAGAAGTGACCCGGGTGAATTTAATTTACATTGCTGGAATTCTTATAAGACTGATTAATTTGAATGTAAACATGCCATGGTTTGCACTAGACAAAAATTTTAGTAATCATTTAGTACAGTATTCTGATTACATGTACAGTTCAGCTTTGCCCTTAGGACAGTGTGTGCATGTAAATGAGTTTCAATAAATGAATAAAGTTACATATATCGAGCCAAAAATAGTTAAAAACTTTATGTAGAGCTTGGATGGCTAAATTTTAGAATGACCAATAATTTTACTTTGGAAAATGCACAAATATTAAAGAGCACAATTTTCTTCATATTTACTCCAATGGAAACGAATGTAAACATAGAAGAGATTACTGAAATGACTGAGTACCTCCTCAGCTTATCAGCTGATGTGATTTTCATAAGGATTTCGTTAATCGAATTTTTTTTCGTTAACCGAATTGAAGATTCTTTTGGAAGGTAATTTGTTAACCAAGGGACCACTGTATGTGTGTAGACACACACACACACACACACACATGCTGTATATACAATACAGTCTCTCCTCGACTTACAATGGGGTTCCGTCTAGACGACCAGGTCGTAAGTCGAAAAGGCGAAAATAATACATAGAAATTCTAAAATGGGAGTCTTTTTTTCTTCCCAGCACCACGAGAACTCTCACTTTTAAGCTTGCCAGCCATTTTAAAAGGGAACTACAAACAAAAATTTTGTCAGTACACAGAGCGATCACCAACGTCGGGACTCGAAAATACGTAATTCAAAAAAATATTTTATACGACCACGGCCATCGTATGTCCGGGTTGTGGTAAGTCGAGCATGTCGTAAGTCGAGGAGTACCTGTACAGTACAGTACACTGTATATACTGGAGTAGCACATTTTGTTTATTGACAATATATTGTATGTGTACAGTAGTGCTTCCAAAAATAATTGCAGCTTTGGCACTGTCTGACTGCAGTTAAGCCTCCACAGCACCAGTGCTCCATGTGAAATGCAGTTTAAACGTGAAAAAAATCCCCCGACAGGCGACCTTTTACCAGGGACAAGATAATTCATCTCAATTCCTGGAAATGCTCTGTACTAATTGTTCCGGCTAACGGGGAGATTACTTACAATATATGTCACATATTTTGTGACATACTGTATAAGACACGACACCATTTCAGCAAGGAATATTCAGGAAAACTTTTCAGTGTACTTAAGCTTAATGTAGGTGATGGCTCATAATCCCGTTGTTAACACGTAGTTTATCACCTTTAGTTTGTAGCTAATATCTTGAGCTCCTCCCTCCTGTGGCCATAGTGTTCTTATAATGAGGTTAAAATACCATAAGCACATTATGTTAGCACAGTCCTTGTCGATATATTTTTACCAAGTTGTTGTTATGAGCAATGCTTGTTGTACTAACATGTCCATACCATGGTAAGCACTGCAAAAACACGAAAAGACAACCGAATACTAGTCTTCATTGCATGCCGATAGATGGCATTACCTGCTAGTAAGACTACAAAGAAATGGTAATGTTTGTCGACGTTATTTGCGGTTACCGAATAAAAATAATGACATTAATAGATAGCAAAGCGTGCAAGAGTAAACAAAAAAGTTACTAGTTAGCTTTGAAGAGTTGTTAGCCGTACAGACGATAAGCATTTTTTTGTAATCCAGCTTTAATGTTTACAATAATTCCCTTTTTAATTAATTAAAAGTACAGTAATACCCCGCTTTATGCGGCTTGTTTTTTATGCGTTTCTACATTTACGCGGTACACCGTCAGAACCGGAATGTTCACTTTACGCGGTGCATCTACTCATATACGCAACGGCGCGGGCAGGGTGCGCACAAGGTCGCTCAGTCATCAAAACATTACCGAGTTCTTCACCCGCCACCCACCACAGCCGGTCCAAGTCAGTGATAGTGAGGATATGGACTTATATGGACTTTGAGGGGTTTGACAAAGAGGCCCTGCAAGCCTCTGTGGTGGATAGTGATACAACTGATACAAGTGATACAGGCGAGAGCCAATAATCTGCCCTCTGCCTCGGAACCAACCCCCCATCCCCGTGTGCCCAGCCATCTTTTCTACTAATGTAAGTGTTAAAAAACCTAATATTATTGATATTTCTCTTAATTATTAATTGTGTGTGCATACCATCATAAAATTAAGAAGTTATTTTTACTACAACGTAGGTATTGTCTGAAAAAGTGGAGTTTAGGGGTCGGCCCAGTCTCTATTTCAATTAATCCCATATGTTCTGTTGTTCACTTTACGCGGGCCTCCGTGGGTTCAATTGACCGCGTAAAGCAAGGTATTACTGTAATAATAATGTAAACATTACATGATGTTTAAGTAAACAATAACAATGTTATTCTGGACTTGGGCCAAGGTAAATTTAATCTACTGGAGACAGCATCTGGGGGATTCATTAGCCAGTGAAAGACCTGCAACTTCACATATAGGACGCGGGGTGATTTTTTTGGGGGGGGCGGTGGCTTATAAGCCATAAAATACAGTGTGTGTGTGTGTGTGTGTGTGTGTGTGTGTGTGTGTGTGTGTGTGTGTGTGTGCTTGTGTTTGTGTATGTGTGTGTGTGTGTATATAAAATTACTTCAGCATACCAAGAAAAAAAAACTGAGTAAGCCAGGAAACATAATTTGTAAAATAAACAGAAATTATGTGTACGAGGCAGGTGTGAAGAACTGAACGAGGCGGGTGTGAAGAACTGTACGAGGCGGGTGTGAAGAACTGTACGAGGCGGGTGTGAAGAACTGTACGAGGCGGGTGTGAAGAACTGTACAGGCAGGTGTGAAGAACTGCAGAAGAGGCAGGTGTGAAGAACTGTGCGGGCAGGTGTGAAGAACTGCAGAGGCAGGTGAAAAAGAACTGTAGAGACGGAGGTGTGTGAAGAACTATGCAGGGCAGGTGTGAGGCTGTGCAGAGGCAGGTGTGAAGAACTGTAGGGCAGGTGTGAAGAACTGTACGCAGGCAGGTGTGAAGAACTGTACGCAGGCAGGTGTGAAGAACTATGCGAGGCAGGTGTGACTGTCAGGGCAGGTGTGAAGAACTGAGGTGTGAAGAACTGGGCAGGGCAGGTGTGAAGAAGAGGCAGGTGTGAACAGGGCAGGTGTGAAGAACTGTAGGCAGGCAGAAGAACTGCAGGCGGGTGTGAAGAAGCTGTGAAGAGGTGTGACTGTACGGGCAGGTGTGAAGAACTGTACGAGGCAGGTGTGTGAAGAACTGTAACAGGCAGGTGTGAAGTGCTACTAGGTGTGAAGAACTGTACGAGACAGGTGTGAAGAACTGTAGGCAGGCGTGAGAGGCAGGTGTGAAGAACTGCACGAGGCAGGTGTGAAGAACTGAGGGCAGGTGTGAAGAACTGTGCACGAGTGCAGGCAGGTGTGAAGAGCTGTATGAGGCAGGTGTGAAGAGCTGTATGAGGCAGGTGTGAAGAACTGTATGAGGCAGGTGTGAAGAACTGTAGAGGCAGGTGTGAAGAACTGCACGAGGCAGGTGTGAAGAACTGTATGAGGCAGGTGTGAAGAACTGTATGAACACTATTGCACAAAGGTCATACCGGATAAGAAAATGAAAGCAATAATAATTGATAATCAGTCAATTTGACCAAGGACAGCTGACAAAGCCATGAGATGCTTGCTTTCAGTAAAGTCCTTTTGCCAGCAACATCTGATGTTAAGGCCAGCCGGTCACCCATCCCAGAACTGAACAGTTCCAACGTTGTTTAACTTCACTGTTAAGACAAGAAGCGATGATTCCAATGTGGTGACTTGTGAGTGGCTGGAATGCAGTGGAATATACTCTACATTCACAAGCAATTGATTTATTTAATAAAAAATTACACTATTTTTAAAGAAAGCATTACCTATTTGATACTCCCAGCAGGGGTGTTAAGTTTGGAGATGAATGAGACTGTGGCATGGCAGGTTTTCCTGGGGCTCCTGGAGCACGGATGAAATCATTGTCATCATTTTCCAGAGACGGCAGCTTCCACTGCTGCAGACGGCTTCCTTGTTGCTAATAAGTAAATGCAAAAGAAATCACATTTTGTAACTCTTATGCCATAGTCACAACTCTCCATGTCTTTCCAATTTTCTACTTATCCTTCTATAATTGACCAAAAGTTAAAATCAGTTAAACATTTTATTGAAAAACCTATATTGTTTTCATATATACAACTGCTTAATCTGCAACATGATGCCTAAGCTTACCCCAATGTTTATTGCAGTAGGTTCATTGACGGACATGGGATTGAAGCTACCATACAGTGGATCTGGAAGACTGGGCTTGTTGAAGAAGTCATTTTGAGTACCAGGGGGGCCACCAGTCACATGAGAATGAAGTTGCTGGTGGTGATGCTGTTGCTGCTGCTTCACATACAGGGCCTGCTGGGCAGCTATCTGATTCTATTAAGAAATAAACAAAAAAGGTAAATTTCAGAAGGTAACATTATAATTCATATTCACCATAATCAGCAAATAAAAGTTTTTATTGATTATGATTAAAATGTTATGAAAGTCAACTGAAATCAATAGAGATATCCCTTCCTTAACACAGCTCTAAGTAATATAGTTTCATTATACAGTAGACAATTTACAGCGCTCAACTCCTTCAGCTTGCACGAGGCTCTAAGGTGAACCTCCTGTATAGCCCCACACACTCACCTTAAGCTGTTGCCTCTTTATTCTTCTCTAGTAACAGTTATTACTGCATTTATGTTATTATATGTTTATTCTGTATATCGATATTTCTAATATGAAAGAGGTTTAAGACTGAAAAACTTCTGCTTGTAAAATATTTCAACTTGTAAGATATGGAAAAACAGAAACAGGTACAGTACAGTACACCCTTGCCATTCATTACCTATACTACTGATAATAAATAAATAAAAAAGTTGGACACAAAAACAAGTACAGTAGTTCTATATAATATAAACAGTTCCTTCCCTTCTCATAATCATACTTTGGGTGTCACCATTATACAAATAAATAAATAACACACAGGCAGACATGGACTTGCTGGCTGGTCAGCTGTTTGCCCATGTAAACAAACTCATATGAAGTAAAAAAAAAATTCCAAGGAAATTTATTATTTTATGATATAATGTTTTATTAACCTGGCACCAAATGAACCTAAACAATATGGGAATTATGGCATAAATTGCATAATGTTGTTATAAACGGGTTTGGTCCAACTGTATAACCTAACATAGCACTTTTATTGAAATGTGAGGAAAAGTAGACAAGATTGTGGAGACATTGGGCCCTAACAAGCTTGACGTTTGCTGTGTACTAGAAACTAGATGGAAAAGGGTTTCACCAAGGCTGAACACTGGCAACAATCACAGGTAGTTGGAAGAAAAATTAATCTGAGACAGATAGTGAGGGGATCTTGTTTGCTGAAAAGTGGGTGGAGAAAATACTTGAGGTGAAAAGGGTGAATGGATAAATATCTGGTTCTGAGGCTACTGGTGTACTAGTCTGGTGACGAGTATATCTGTATGTACCTCACAGGTTGGGAGTGTGGAAGACAGACACAATTTCTGGGATGAACTGATGCAGGTTGTGTTAAAGTTGGGTGAAAGGGAAATTCTAGTACTGTACTGGGTGACCGAAACAGTCATGTAGGTGTACACACTGAGGGATAGGATGGTGTTCATGGTGAAAAAGGAATATGGAACGAGAAAGATTACTTGAGTTTGGGGATGCACCGAGGATAAAATACTAAAAGTGGCGTTACCATGGTGAAGGAGGGCTAGTAGGCTTATTATATATGAGTCAGGTGCCAAAGAAAAATCAGACTGACCACATAATTGTGTCAGGAAACCACACAGGAAATTTGTTAGGGATGCAAAGGTCATAGCAAGGGAACAAGTGCCTAGCAGCACAGATTGCTTGTGTGTGACACGTTGCTTAAAAGGTGCAAGGGAAGAAGCATTATGTTCTGAGAATTGTGAGGAAATTTAAGGAACAGAATATTATAAGGGAACCATTTTTTTGTAGTTAAGAAGAATAAAATAACAAGCAACAGTGGGAAGGATAATGTAGCACGATGCTGGACCTTAATAAAGGACAGTTGACAAGATGTGTAATGTGACACTGAAAGATAGGAAACCTATAAGGGTAGCTGGGTGTTGAGAGCATTGTTTCACACAGAGATGGTGTGGGCATGTGGAGGAGACAAGCGAGTAAGGAGAGCTATGGGTAAGTTTTAACAAATCACAGGCTGCAAGGACCACACAGCATGAACAGTTGTCAACAGATAATGAGGGTTAACCTATGCAAGCAGGGAAAATAGTGGTAAAACTTCAACGATCATCTCCCGCGTATACTTGCATACGTATTTCAAAATGACACATGTTGACAGCATTTAAATATATATATATATATATTTATAAAAATACAACTACTAATAATAAATCAAATACCTGTAGGTTTTGGATCTGTTGCTTAGTTTTAGTGATATTAATGTTGAGCTGAAGTAGAGTTTGTGAAGAATTTTTGTTGATGTGAGCCTGAGCTTGCCAGATGGTTTGCTGCTGGGAGAACTTCTGAAGCACGTTAATGTGGGAGAGCATATTATTGAGGAGCACAAGTGTGGTGGGAGCCAGGGGTTGGTTCAGGATCTGGGGGTTGAGGTAGCCCGCCTGCACTGCCATCTGGATGTGATTCATGAGAGCACGAACATGCGGAGAGTTGCCAGATCCACCCTGCTGTAAACAAATGGGCTGCATCAGTACGCTACATTAAACCAACACTATATACAAAATGACCTGTGAGGAGATGCTATTATAAGACTCCAAGTATTTTAACACTATATTGTTACAGACAAAAACAGGCTGTGCTACTTTTAATATCACTGCTATTGCAAACACGAATAAACTTCCACACAATTTCCTAGCTGTAAGAATGGATGAAATACAACAAAAGGAATATGTATGTATGTTTCTGATACCCGGTTTGAGGGGGGGGGGGGACCATTTAAGTGTCATATCAAACTGCTTTCACTAATTTATCTCAACCTAAATTTAGCACTGAAAATTTCTTCTGGACAAATGAAAATACTAAACATGCTTTAGTTCATTCTATTTTATCATAATTCAAGATGGTTGTCCCTGCCTTGTTTCTTTTTCTATAACTTAGCACCAGGGCTGCTACAGTATATTATTCTCTTATTGATATTTCTCTTCTATATTATGTGTGTGTGCATACCATCATAAAATTAAGATACTATTTTTACTACAACGTAGGTATTGTGTCGGAAAAAGGGTAGTCTGGGGGTCGGCCCAGTCTCTTATTTCAATTAATCCCATATGTTCTGTTATTTCGTTTACACGTTTCTCGTTTTACGCGGACCTCCTCGGGTTCAATTGACCGCGTAAATCAAGACTATACTGTATATGAGCCAAAAATAGTTGAATAACTTTATGTAGACAGAGCTTGGATGGCTAAATTTTAGAATGACCAATAATTTTAATACTGTATAAAAAAATGCACAAATATTAAAGAGCACAATTTTCTTGATATTTACTCCAATGGAAACGAATGTAAACATACAAGAGATTACTGAATTGGCTGAGTACCTCCTCAGCTGATGTTCAAAACAAAATGGGATTTTCGTAAGGATTTCGTTAATCAAATTTTTTTCGTTAACGAAATTGAAGATTCTTATGGAAGGAAATTCGTTAACCGAGGGACCACTGTAATTTCAGGTAATTACACATATTTTTTCTCTCGGTTACATGCACACACAATTCTAGAGTAAGTGCAATAAGATATAAAAAAAATAATTACCATAAGGAATAAAGTTGTAAGTGTGTACAGGTTTTGACAGTGTGTGGAGGCCAAGAGGGTCCCTGGCTCAGAGCACCATCACTAAGAACACTGCTGTAGTGCTAAGGCGGTGGAGACCAACACAGTTCGTACACCGTCTTGTACAGTATAAATCTTGCACTTTTTATACTTTATTGCTGTTAATTTTAATTGTGTGGTACAGCATAACCCCAAAACTATGTGGTATTAACACTACGGCCACGGAGTCATTTATCCTCACATACGTCTCAAGAGTACACGCCCAGAATTATGGAACTTATTTCCAATATATATACTGTATTATATATCTATAACTTTGTAGATTACTTGTAAATATTAACAATTGCCAATCTTAGCTGAGACAATTTAAATATCTTGTTTCTTACCTAATAACAAAGTAAGTTCAATAAAGCCTTATTATCTGCATATACAGTACGTAGAGTATAAACCAGTAAGTATTGTTACTCTCCCAATCTTTGATACTGGTGGGTGATATCCTTGCTGTAATGTCTTGTACCAGGACCAGGCTGTGTGTGTTGCACTTTGTAGTTGTTCTGCCAAGCTACAGCTTGTTACAAGAGATGCCACCCAATATAATTCTTATTATGTTCTTGTTTTTATTATTTTGGGGGGAGGGAGGGGGGAGGGTTAACTGTTGACTTAGAATCTAAACATATCAAGCTATATTGTCAAATAGTTACACAATTATTCAAGGAAAAAAGAGGGGGAACAATAATAATATGAACTAATGGTTCTGGACAATTACAAAACAGTTTTCTCTCCGAAGGAAGTATGAGTGTACAGTATCGTGTTTGTGTGGCCTTTCTGAGTGGGAAATAACTATGTAACTCAGTTGTATCAAATCTCTGTGTCAGCTCTCCACACAAAGTGCTCGTACTGCATATAGTTGTCTTACTTGTGAAGTGAATGGCAGGGGGTGAGGCGCTGGAGGGAAGCGATTCTGGAAGTTGGGGTTATTAATGTCGAAAGGAATATGTTCTTCCAAAGGAGGGTTGCGCCAGGCATCGCTTCCACCGCCACCACCTGTTATCCCACGGTTGCCAAGCTCCATTAGAGTGTCGTCCAGACCCATATTATTGTTGCGAAGCGCAGCTTCAATGTCTTCCTTCTGCCGAAAAGGAGAATGGAGTAAAGTAAAGGATTCAAGGGAAAACATTATTCAATGGAGAAGCAATTGATGTCCATAACTGACAAGAAAGAGAACAACTTTAAAGATGTTAAGAGTTTAGCAAGATTATTAAACTATGTTGTTCACACACACAGAGAGAGAGAGAGAGAGAGTCTTTTGAATACCTCTATGTTATGAAACTTGGTGATTGAGATAATAAAATGCAAACAGCTTCCTTCAGGTTCAGCCATCTCCCCTGCAACCATAGCAAGACGACAACACTTAAATACTGTACAATACAGCAGTGATTGCCTTCCTTATTTCCCTGGAGTACAGTACTAGTTAATGCAACATTTACACGACTCATCAACGTGAATCAGCATATTGTATGACAAGTGTTATCTGTTGCCACACAAATAGTTCTTAGGAAGAAAATACTTCACCCAACCAACTAAATCAGACACCTGTCAAGTTCTGCTTCATCCACTCTATATCAATGGCATGTGGACAATCTTCTCCAAACACTTCAGTTTAAATACAAGTTCACTTTCAACTTGGACACCAACAAACAACTCGGTCAGTTACCTAACCTTTTTACACAACTTGGGTGAAGCAAGTGTCCATTATTCTACTTAGAGGAACGGTGCTATGGTTCCAATACATGCTAGTAAACTTGGGAAACCCGAGAACAGACGTCGGTAAGAGTAAGGAAACACGGCAAATTCAAACTTAATACTGACAATGATACACTTAGAAATATGAATGAAAGGCACATCACCCCAGTGAATGTGAGACATGACTATGGTGGGACACACAATGTTATATCAACCAACCATTTACCTCTCCCAAGACAAAATTTCTAGGATTGACCTTAAATCATAACATGCCTTTTAGGGTCACTCATAAATATCTATAATGTAAAAAGTAGTACTGTACTGTATGCTTTAATTCTGTCCCACGCATGGCTTTGTTTTTACATTTGTGGTCAGGAATGGTGAATATCAAAGGGTAAAAAAGGATAACGATTCAATTCATGGAAAATTATTTTGGACCTTTAGGCCTGAAAGTGAAATTTGACTTTTCATGTCCCAGGGGAAAGCCACAGACAAAATTCCATCAACTGATTGAGGAAAAGCTGAAAATACACACAAACAACTATTTGGTTTTCTAGTGTAGAAGCTTGACCACTATTTTTAGTTCACCCTAATTTCATTCCCATATGTTGAGAAACGTGTCCATCTACTGTGTATGTGTATTGGAAGATCAACAAACAATGTTGTTCCATAGTCCACAACAATTCAATCACGATGATAATTTATTGGTGTCCTGGCAGGTGAAAATTAATTCATGTGATAAAGTTAACCTAACACACACACTCATAACAATAAAAGAGAATGAAACATAGACATCCTTTACCTGTAGATCAAGATTATTACAGATGTATCTCACTCACCTGAGACACTTTTGGCAATGGCACAATAATCCTAACACAAAAAATAGTTACACTACAATAAATATTGTGGATACTAAGAGGCACATCTTGTCTGCCATGAGTATGGCATCACACTTTGTGCATTGACAAGAGGGCCCACCCACCACAACTGGCAACCCTGCTTGTCCACTGCACCTCCCTAACATGCCATTCTTCACACTTTATAATTTTTGACATTGCTGATGTGAAAATATAAATATATACTTTATATATACTGTACAGTATATCTAATTGGCAATCATGAAATATTAAAATACTGTAATACACAAATTTTAAATCAGCAATTAGTTTTTAAGGAATGATCTTTAAAAGAATTTTGACAATTATTTGAATTTTAAAGAAAATAGCAATAGGTCCTGCATCATCATGACAAGTGCCAGACTCAAGAATGGCCTTATTTTCTCACCTTATAACCCATGTCCAGGAGTGTACGAAATTGCTTGCTGTTGTAGATAATTTCTTTTGAGAGACCCTTAGGAACCTGGCAACAAAAATCAAGACCCAGGAGTGAGCAATGTGCATCTTGTGGGGGGAAAGGGGGAGGTAGTCTGCTATTGCCAAAATATATATATATATATATGTATGTAACTTATATACTTGTGGCTACAGCAGGAGTAGCAATAGTGTGTGGTCTGGTGTAGTAGTCATCACTTTGCCACTGTGCTTACTTGAAAGCACCACCTGGTACCACCACCTTACCATCATAATATCCACCTCATCACAAACCCTCAAGGACCACAAACTCTATATAGACACCATGCTATAAGATGGCTGATCCAAGGCTCTCTTGCCACATGCTGCTTCACTAAACGTGGTTAATTGGCAGCTGTATTCTCCAAGAGCATCACTGTAAAATTATTTATCACTGACACAACTGATCTTTAAGAGCATCAAGAGCCACAGGAAAAGCCTTAACTTTGACATGCTATTGAAGTGGTTGATAAAACATGCAGGATAACTGACCTGGCCAAGTCTGACATTTTACTTTATTAATCTACATGCAACTGTTAGTTAAAAGCATATTAGCCACCACAAGTCATTAAACTGTCTCTTGTACATAAACCTAACTATAATTATTCTCATTAAAATTAATTCTCAAAATTGTCCTTCACATGGTAATACAGTACTGTAAATCCCTAAATACTAAAAATATTGTACTGCCAATATTAATTTAACAAAGCAAGATGTGCTTATTAACCTCTCAAGCAGTCCACATACATGATGCACACAGTAATCATTTAGGCAGTAACATCTGCAATACACTAAACTAAGCTAAGGTTGCAAGATTATCATAAAAAAAAAATATCAATACTGTAATTTTCTGTAAATCAGGGACATCAATACAGTAGTTCTGATATGAATTTACCAACAACAGGTTCATAATATTTAGGAAAGTAGAGCATACTGTAAGTTTGCAATTACTGTACTTACAGGATGGCTGCAGTTAACATAGCCACTGCAAATCTTACACGTACAAGGAAAAAAATTCAAGTTATCACAAACACTGAAATATCAAAAAGGAGTCACGTAGAAGATGTTTCATTATCTTACAAATGAGAATACTGAAAGTTCAACATGTAATACCACACTCAAAAGGTAGGAAATACTAGGAGCTGGTTTTCTGCCGAGGATTTGATGCACATACTCCACCTCTCCAAATCTAACTAACTTTATACCTGTGTGCGTGTTTTTTTAATTGTGTGTGTGTGTGTACTAGCAAATGACACTGGAATGTTTGAATATGCAAAAATATACCCAATAATAAAATAAGAGTATTGAAAATGAATAAAAGGGAAACAAAAGAGAAGTAAGGTGGTGGGGGAGAGGGAAGGGTGGAGATAAGTCTGGAATATATAGTGACAAGTGCAGAGAAGGAATAGTGACAAGTGCAGAGAAGGAATAGTGACCAGTGCAGAGAAGGAATAGTGACACAGAGAAGGAATAGTGACCAGTGCAGAGAAGGAATAGTGACCAGTGCAGAGAAGGAATAGTGACAAGTGCAGAGAAGGAATAGTGACAAGTGCAGAGAAGGAATAGTGACCAGTGCAGAGAAGGAATAGTGACCAGTGCAGAGAAGGAATAGTGACCAGTGCAGAGAAGGAATAGTGACCAGTGCAGAGAAGGAATAGTGACAAGTGCAGAGAAGGAATAGTGACCAGTGCAGAGAAGGAATAGTGACCAGTGCAGAGAAGGAATAGTGACCAGTGCAGAGAAGGAATAGTGACAAGTGCAGAGAAGGAATAGTGACAAGTGCATATGTGATGTAATGTGGAGTTTTGTGATTGAAATTTGAGGCACCAGTTCAAATATACTGTGGATCAGATTAAACGAAGGAAGAGAGAAGAAAGGTTGACTGGAGTGCATACATACTGAGCCTGGGTACTGAGCAGGAGTGCATACATACTGAGCCTGGGTACTGAGCAGGAGTGCATACATACTGAGCCTGGGTACTGAGCAGGAGTGCATACATACTGAGCCTGGGTACTGAGCAGGAGTGCATACATACTGAGCCTGGGTACTGAGCAGGAGTACATACATACTGAGCCTGGGTACTGAGCAGTGAGGAGGAGACAAAGAGATTGACAGTAGATAATATATGGTGGGGTAGATTAAGTAGATAATACAAAAACAGATAAATGCAAAAGAAATGACCAGGTAAAAGGATCGTGACTGGACGACGGGAACAAGAGGTACAGCAAAAATAGGATCGGCTGAAGGTAAACTAAAAAAAAGAAAAAAGCAACAGAAGTGACTGGGATATATTAAGGATGGGAGGCGAAATGGTGACAAGACAGATGACTATATAGGTGTAGAGGTTTATGTATGACACGGAAGGTGATAGAAATAAATATAAGGCAGATGAGTGACTGGGTTCAGAAGAGGGTTTGTTTTTTTTATTCGAGAAAGTAAGTGAAGAGTTTCTGGAAGAGATAGATTTTACAAACCCCCAAAAGTTTGCTACTGAAAATGTATGCCATAAAAGCTGGCATAAAAAGACAAAATTTAGCTTTTATTTGCCCTACAAGGGTTAAGGGCTAGCTTGACATTCAAAACCTCTAAATATTTCATTTGGAAACACAGCCTAAGGGGTACTGCATTATCCCAAATCCCTTGGATATCTTTCTCATAACCCATTCTTACATTGTTAGGTAACTTCTGTTCATAAAAGTGACCAGTGAAGCCTCACACAGAATTATTTAAGATGAAATTGAAGCAATTGTGTGATAAGTTACAAGAAAATTTGCATTTTCAAAAATCCCTCTTCCAGAATATGTCCGTACGTGTACACAGATGAGTACCTAAATATATGTGCTAGTTGGTGACAACTTGTGACTCCCTACATATATATTGGGGAAAGAAAGGATGTGAATGTGTGCATATGCAAGTGCAGTACAAGTCACACCCCTTTAATCCAGCAGCCTCAGGACCTGAACAGTTCTGGACAAAAAAACAAATCGAAACCAGAGGTCAGCCAAAGATAAATTCTTCTACTCTACCGATACACCACATCAAATTGAAATACAATGCAGGTTAATAAATATCTCGATATACAGTATACAATGGACTTGTATTGAAAACAGCAATTCATGAAATATATTAATGTGTGTGTGTACCTTAAGTTAGCTGTAATTATGCAAACTATTGCCACAACAGTCAATCATAAATCAGGCTAGACTACAGGGTGTTGGATTAGAGGGGTTCAGCCTGTATCTGACTATCTGCAACTGTGCCTCAATACTGTTGATTATACTGTACTGTACCAGGCTTCCTATACTATACTAAACTGGATTGAACTTTCCTTAGATCTTTATGTTCAGCTAATATGATGAGAGGCAACGTAAGGAATGTAGTGAGCAAATACTGACCTCCTAACTTCAGCTAAAAGGGCAAACACCCGAGCATCAAAATAACCAAACACAGTAAAGTACTGTCCACGTATATCAGAAATACCGTACACTGCCATGTTCTTGGTACGATGTAACTCCTGGCAAAATATTGGTAATGCATCCTATTTTGAAAAAAGAACTCCCAATATTGAATAAATATATCATTATACAACTGTGTTACTAATTAATCATCTTTCCATTGCATATTTAGCAAGCAAGTTTTATAGTAAACATCGTGTCCCTTGAAAAAAGCCTGAAATGTAAATAATTCTCATGGCATTTTTGGGATTTCCCAAGTTCCTCACCAAACGTGTCTAGCAGCCAGTCCATATACTATACCACTATTCCAACAATTATTCTCTAACTCCATTTCAATTTCACTAATTAATCTCATGGTAATACTTCATGACTTAGACCTATAATCTGAACATAAGGAGAGAACACAGAACCATTATAACCTTCAGTATTTGACTACATTTCTACACCAGGTATTACATGTGAAACCTCAATTTTTCTGTGGTTAGTTGTCAACTTTGGTCTATCTTTGAACCTTCTTTGGAAAACTCATTTACAGAAATTGAAGAGTTGGAGCAATATACATTCAGCAGATTTATTTATGGTTGATCATGTGAAAGAACAACCACAAATAGCAATCAATATGGTACTAAATCAATATCATAAGAACTAGTAAATACTAAATATAAAATTTACTTGATGTTAACCATTTCATTAAGACTACCTACACAAAGTTGGCTTCTCTAACATCAACCTGTGTAGCAAAATTATTTATTTAATACTGTACTGCAGAGCAGTATGCCTGGTGAAGCTTTTTCATTTTGAAGGCCATTAGGACACTTCTTCAAAGAAATTATCATAAAAAATTAGAAAAATATTCTTAATTTGCATTTACATATCATTTTGGGACACACTACAGAGAGTATCTCAATCCATAAATTATATAGGTACATGCAGCAGCAATTAATAAATTTGGAAAAAATTATCTCTGTAACTGCAGCAAGGTTTGGCTACCCTATTTAAATTTTAATTACAATAAGCAAAATTAGTTGCAGTTCCATCACAATTTGTGTGAATTAACTGCCTTATACTTGTGAAAAGCACAGCCTTCTGGCCTTGTCTAGGACACAACAAGCAGACAACAGCCATACAATAAGGACAGACCAAGCTGGTAAGCAAATAGAGCCCCAAATATGGCATAAGATGAGACAGTACTGGCAACTTACACCAAATGGGAAGTGGGACTCAGGTATGAGAGCTTTGGGAGATCTGAGATCAAGCAGAGGAGGGTAACCACTCATCTGTAATATTAATTATTAGCCTCTGTTATAAATGTCCTACTTTGGCCACATTAGTATACAGGGTAATATATATATATATACATACATATAATATATATATATACATATATATATATACATACATATATATACATACATATATATATATACATACATATATATACATACATATATATATATACATACATATAATATATATATATACATATATATATATACATACATATATATACATACATATATACATACATACATACATATATATATACATACATATATATATATATATATATATATATATATATATATATATATATATATATAATATATATATATATATATATATATATATATATATATATATATAAATTATTATTATTATTTTCTTCACTCTCAAGCCTTTTCCCACTATTATGCAGTGGCCAGAATCAAGAGCCAATGAAGACTCTCCCTTCATTCAGTCAGTCATTTACTCTTGTTGCTGTAACAGATGAGTTCTGTAATGGTACAGTACTTCCCTTTCTTAACTAAGTTCAATTATCGTCTGCCTTATTGCTGTCACTTCACATAACCTACCATCACACACCCATTCCCGTAAACCACTACCGGTATTTTCTCGAGTCATTCACATACATTGGGCAAGTCCTTCACCCAATCCTTTCATCCTCTCCCAGGTCTTCCCTCTGAGCTACACTCTCTTCACCAAACTTTCACTGCCTAGCCACATAAGAGCACCTGGATGCTTCCTCTTTTTGGTGCAGAATATTCTAGGGTTAGTGCACAAGGAGAGAAACCTAGTTCTCTATTCTGGCTGAAAATATAACCTAGAGCCATTTGCTTGCATTGTGAACATTCTACCTATGCTACAGAGTCTCACAGTTTCAAACTACTGGACTGGCAATAAATACATTTATGGGTCACTATGCATGTATGACCGCTAAGCACTGCAGTGTGGTAGGTTAGATTTTGAGGACCACTGCACAGGTACAGTACTACAGTATGAGCAAATGGTTAGGGGCTCAGGCACTGTCAAAATATCATCCAGAAATAATGACCCAACAACCATGTGACAACATCAACCCAAAACAATACAGTAAACTCAATATGATAATGGCTTGTGTCCATATGTATACACAGTTAAGTGTATACAGTATATGTGTGTGTGTGTGTGTGTGTGTGTTGGTGAGAATTTTATACTTGCATGCAAGTGACTACATATGCATGTATCTGCATATGTGAGAATGCTTGTGACAATAAATGCATAGGTACCCATGTTGTATATTCATGCATGTGTCATTATGTCTGCGTATGTGTGCAAGCATGCACGTGACTCCCTACAGGTGTACAATATGCACACGAGTGAATTTCAAGTGCGCACATGCATGTATGTGATTTCCTGCATTTGTGCCTTAATACTGTGGTTGACAGAAAGTGATGAGGATATTTTTTCCTGCAGTTTTCTGTGATAATACAGTATGTGATTTGTTTAGACATCTAATAGTAAACTTGGTTTTACACACACACCTTTATGTATCATAACTCCAAGAGCCAGGGTACTGCATTAAGTCTAAGTCTGTGTTAGATCACTGGACACAATAGTCAAAACAAACATTTTTGTTTTTATAAGTCTCTGTTTCATATAAGTCACACTAATACTTAATGCTATTCATTAAAAATCTTGAACTTCACAACAACTCCACCTTGAAATCCGACACTAGGTCTAACATCCAGACACACAATCTATTACACATTTCCTTTATTTCACTCCCCTTACATTCACACATTCATGCTACTACTGTATCAACTTACCACACAGTGCAGCAGCCACTCAAAGAACATGAACAAATATGAATCCTGACACTCCATCCAACAAGACACAAGACAAATAAATATACTTGATACAAATATATGAGGAACATGATGGTGAGATCAAACTCAAAGAGAAGGGGATATGCCACTGCCACAAGATAAATTGTTTCTCCTGTTCTTAGCAGGAAGCTTCCATCTGCTGTAGGTGTGGCGAGAGAACCAAAACTTAAGGTAAAGTTCAGTAACCCAAAACTTGAGCCAGGAATAAAGTGGCTTCACCCTCTAACCTGAGGACATTATGAGTATCTATTTGTCACTTAAGCTCATTATTAATACCTTTTGTTACCTGGGGTCACTCAAATTCCTTAGTAGTTACCTCGAGTTTTTATCAATACCCATTTGTCACAGTTGGTCTTTTGTGAGCACCTGTGAGCCTTAATGACACCTGTGATTCCTTTAATGGTTCACATTATATCTCACCTGCTACATCTATGGTCACTTGGAACCATTGTGAGCACATGTGTGGCATCATTATTAGCCCCCTTGATTCATCTGGCATTATTTTGAGTACCAATTAGTCATATGGAGTATACTAATAATAAATCCTTTATGTCATTATGAGCTCCAACGATTCATCTATGGCCATTATGAAAATCTGTTCGTCAATGGTGTGACTATTAGCACTGATGGGGCTGTGTTAGATGCTAAGAGTCCCCATACCTTAAGCAGCAGCAGCATGGACTAGAAGATGTTAAAAGGCTCACAAAGAACAATTACAATATGGACCAATATGGACAAAAATGCACGGGATGTTTTCCAAGAAACCGTCTGTGACCTTGGATTTTGACCACACGACTACCAACACCTACAGCTTTCTTGAGATCAGTTAAGTTCTGTGTACTGTGCAAGGTTTTACTGAAATGCCCAAATTAGCTCTGAACTTATTGTTTGAACCAATGTGTATCTTCTTTCTCCACAGATTTTGTCCAAGCATAGTGGGTAAAGGATAAATAGGAAGTAAAAGTTTTAGTCAAGACACCATTGGATTGGTTAAAATCTGTTTTCAGTAAGTGACCTTCTGACATCAGACCTTTTGATCACAAAGTTAATAGATACAATTCTTCTCCTAATAGGAAGCTTCTGTCCAAGTTTGATGAGTAGATGTGAGCAATAGAACTAAATTTATTGTCCAGAAACCTACCTGACTAACTGATACCATTACACACTGACCAAACAATAGATCCCATGGCAATGGCATAAAAACTGGTATTGTATTCATAAAGTAACTGAAGACTCCCCTAATGTAGAGCTCATGTAAAGTAGTGCTTGTAATTAATCCATTAATGCATACCAATTTTCCCCCTATTTTATCATATCAACTATACCCATAGAAACTAACCTCAAATGCAAATGATTTTCATAAGCATTTTTCAGAACTTTCAAGGTTCTCACAAATTACACCTTGAACTTAATCATTATACTGTACTATTAGTTCCATGGACAGTCTCAAATTCCACTTCAATTTCACTGAATATTCTCATTTTGGTTCCATAATCAGTTTTATTTTCTGAAAACATAGTTCAATCAGTGATTACCAAGTCAAAATAATTTCTCAATATTTGACTACATTTCTACACCAGGTATTACATGTGAAACCTCAATTTTTCTGTGGTTAGTTGTCAACTTTGGTCTATCTTTGAACCTTCTTTGGAAAACTCATTTACAGAAATTGAAGAGTTGGAGCAATGTACATTCAGCAGATTTATTTATGGTTGATCATGTGAAAGAACAACCACAAATAGCAATCAATATGGTACTAAATCAATATCATAAGAACTAGTAAATACTAAATATAAAATTTACTTGATGTTAACCATTTCATTAAGACTACCTACACAAAGTTGGCTTCTCTAACATCAACCTGTGTAGCAAAATTATTTATTTAATACTGTACTGCAGAGCAGTATGCCTGGTGAAGCTTTTTCATTTTGAAGGCCATTAGGACACTTCTTCAAAGAAATTATCATAAAAAATTAGAAAAATATTCTTAATTTGCATTTACATATCGTTTTGGGACACTCTACAGAGAGTATCTCAATCCATAAATTATATAGGTACATGCAGCAGCAATTAATAAATTTGGAAAAAATTATCTCTGTAACTGCAGCAAGGTTTGGCTACCCTATTTAAATTTTATTTACAATAAGCAAAATTAGTTGCAGTTCCATCACAATTTGTGTGAATAGACTGCCCTATACTTGTGAAAAGCACAGCCTTCTGGCCTTGTCTAGGACACAACAAGCAGACAACAGCCATACAATAAGGACAGACCAAGCTGGTAAGCAAATAGAGCCCCAAATATGGCATAAGATGAGACAGTACTGGCAACTTACACCAAATGGGAAGTGGGACTCAGGTATGAGAGCTTTGGGAGATCTGAGATCAAGCAGAGGAGGGTAACCACTCATCTGTAATATTAATTATTAGCCTCTGTTATAAATGTCCTACTTTGGCCACATTAGTATATAAATGAGAGAAATCTTGTGTCTTCCTAAACACAGTCCACCATATAATACATGAAAAATAAACTCAGGTGTTAGCGAAGCCAAATTCCAACCTAACATTACTGCACATGAAGTGGGATATTCCTTCTTTTATAGTATAAATTGCATAGCAAAATCATATTCTTTGGTTAAGGACATTATTGCAATGCTTTATCTTTGTACTGTACATATAAATTTAAAATATTAGAGAAAATGGTTAATACTGCTGCTATAATAATTTCATTTTAGTTAGGTTCAAGATGCTGCACATGTCCCAACCTAATTTGGTAAATTCCTCCAAAGATATTCCTAATCAAGTCTAATATTTTGTCAGCTATAGCAGAACAGAAAGATAGTTAGTGTCCCTAAAGAGAGAGAGAGCTGCTAGACAGGGAGACAGAATACCATGTTTACCCTACTGAAGACAGATTAGTAGTACCAATACCAAACAAGCCTTGCATGACAGGCACTTGTTCCTTACTCAACAACTTCTCTGCCTATTACTGAACAATCACTGTTTAATTAACCAAACTCAGCACACAAACACACTGTGTGGGGAGTATGGGTCTATGTATTTATGAAAGTCTGACATTATGTAAGGTAACATCCCAAGAAATTCCAGTCATTTTAAACCAATATGACACATTCATGTACTTAATATATCTTCAAAGAAAAGGAGCTACTACATTATGTTTGCCATCAGTGAACAAGCACTGTGTAGAGGCCAATACAGTCAACCCTCGATTTACAGCAAGATTTAAGTCTTGAAAGTCTTGTGTAAAACACACACACACTAAACTTAATTTCTGATAGGTTATTGGTGATTGTGACACTCAATCTCATAGCCATTTTTCAACCCCCTAATAATCTCACTTTATGTAAAAATTAACCCCTTTAGATGTACTAAACACAAACACTCAGATAATAAAACATTGCCTGTACTGTACTTGGACACTACTGTACTCAGTCTGTCACCCCCCGGCAGACTGTTTACAAACACTTAGTACAGTACAGTACTGTTTCAGTTTTAAGCCACTGGTTCTCTCTGTTGAGAGGTGATTTTTTTCTTCTTCATGGGGGTGGTACAGTAACCAGTAACTGCTCTCGGAGACTGGTTCCAGTTGCAAGCCAAAAAACAAGATTGCCCCCCCCAAATTGTTAAACATAACTAGGAAAATACAAGGAAAAGTAAAATAGCCTGTAGTTATTTTTCTAATACATTACAGTAATGGAACAAAAAATCTAGAAAACCTTTCCCACAGATATTTATCACGCGTGAATGTCTGTACCATAAGTGTAACACATGCCCTCAAGTCAATGTAATGTTGATAATAAATTTACTTTTAAGGTTTTAAATTTGGGTCATGGTTCCCATACTGTACTGTATACAGTATCTAAATCCATTTACCTACTACTGTACAGACACTCCCTGGTTTGCAGCTCGACGGACACTCCCATATGAACTCGTAATTTTGGGTTGATACGATACAGTAATTTTCTTCATTTTCCTTTACTCAGTTACTTGCACACTATTAAACATGCAGCAGCCAGTTGGTTACCCATGGAAGGGTCACTCATGGATATTTTAGCTTACGGATAGTCTCCAGGAACAGAACCCATGGGTAACCAGAGTAGTGTCTGTATACAGTAGGGTATGCTGTAACGAATGGATTCTACTACGAATATTCCTATAACGAACGGTTTTACCTATAAAATTGAGAATGCTATAACGAACGAAACTCCTACAACGAACAGTATTTATTTTTATTTTATTTTATTTTTTACTAATTTATTGTTTTTTAATACAAGTATTAATGATATTCTTTATTTCAGGAGCTTAAATGCATATTTATGCACTTTTTTACAATTTTATATTATATTTTTCAGTGTTAAGTGGTTGTATTTGGTGGCCTGGAACGGATTAATCCTATAACGAACGAATGCTATAATGAACAAGGTTCTAGAACCAATTAGATTCGTTATAGCATACAAATATTGTAGCTTATGATACAATTCATTTAAACAAAAACTGCTAATGAATTTAATGTTTCGATACTTTAACAACTACATAGAGTACAATACAATTACTGTACAGCACAATACAATTACTGAACTATGCATACTGTACAGGGGTATATATTTGCACGTTCTGATGCATCTTTCAGTCTGGTTGGTGGAATGAAAATAGATTATGTCAGTATTTTTCCCTGGTGGTCAGCTGAGACATACTGGTATACAGTACAGTGATCCCTCGGTTAACGAACGGTTTGGTTAACGAATTACCTTCCATAAGAATCTTCAATTCGGTTAACGAACAAAAATTTGATTAACGAAATCCTTACGAAAATCACGTTTTGTTGTGATCATCAGCTGAGGGGGTACTCAGACAATTCAGTAATCTGTTCTATGTTTACATTCGTTTCCAATGGAGTAAATACCAATAAAGTTATGCTTTATAATACTTATGCATGTTTTATATTAAAATTATTAGTCATTTTAACATTTATTTAACATATTTAAAATATATGCAGTACAGGGAACTAGTTACAAACATATGTAAATATCAATATAGTTATGCTTTATAATACTTATGCATGTTTTATATTAAAATTATTAGTCATTTTAACATTTATTTAACATATTGATAATATATGCAGTACAGGGAACTAGTTTGTTGTGCGCCCATCAGATGCATGAGTCGGCCACAAGGCGTCAGTTGGGCTTTGAAAACAGTGGAGAGCATCTATTTTGTCGGTGTCTTGAATATTTTTGCATTTTTCATTGAAATTATTGGTCATTCTGAAATTTAGTTAACATATTGATAAAATATAGCGCAGTGTTGATTAAAAGAAAATAATCTTTAATTACACCTAGTGAACTTAAAATTTTATTGGTGAAATGACGGCATCAAGCATGGGTCCCCTGAAAGGTGATTTCTCCTCCACCCTCACTTCCTTCTCTTCTCCCTTCTCCTCCACCCCACTTCTAATTCCCACCATCATCAACCAGGAGCCTTCTACACACACACACACCTCAAAGTAAGTGTACTTGACTGCATTTTTTTTTTTTAATTTGTATGTACTTTTCGGTGAGCTGGAACCAATTACCCAATATCCCATTGAAACAAAGGATTCAGTTAACGAACGACCTTCTGGAACGAATTATGTTCGTTAACCGAGGGACCACTGTATACAGTTTGTGGCCAATGCTTACACCAGTCATGAGTCTATACTGTACTGTACATACCAAAACTCATCTCATACAAAGCAGAGGTCAAGTGTTTTATCTACTCAGGACAAAATTATATGATACATTACACCGAACCAGGGAAACAACACACGTAGATCGAAGGTTCACTGTAAATGGATTCTCTACATCTATATATAGCAATGAAATGTATGTTAATATTAATACATTGTTTAGCCTTGCCTTTATAAATTTCATGACTTCAAGATCATCTTTGTCGGTAACAATTAACAACTTCCTTAATACTGTACTTGATAAAACAATTTTACTATTAGTATATCAAAATTAATTAAACACTAAGCAGTGAATAGATGTATCAGATCAGTGCATGAATTGTAAAGAATGCTGAGATCATTAGCCAAGACCATTTCTTTAATTTATAACATATATATGCAGTATAAAACCCGAGTACCGGACTAATTAAGCCACGGCGATCATGTCACTGAGGCGTCCATATCGTCAGGGCGACACAACTGTTCAGGACCACAGCCAAAATAATACACTAACATAGATTAACTTACTTAAGCTCATAATGAATTAGTTCAAGCAAAATAATCATACTTATATTTTCAGGAAGTTCAATTGATTTTTATAGATGTGGGTAAGGTTTCTAGAAGGTTTCAGAGCTGTAAAGACTTTTTGAAGGTTCCCAAGTCCCAACGTATGTGTATATGCGGCACGGCTGGCCTTATGCAGTGCGAGTTAAAAGTGAATGGTGTGGATGGGTCCAGTATACCGTATACTCGAGTACAGTTCAATATTTATGATTTAATCTTTATGCAAATATTATGGGGTTGAACAATATACTGTACACCTAATATTTTTGAGGGGTTAAAAGTGGTGTATTTCCATGGATCATTTACAGTGAATGATAACTACTAGGTAGACCTACCAAGCTCCTTCATCCTGGCCTTACCTACCATACCCCTACAGCAGGGGTACCAAACTCATTTGCCAAGGCAGGCCAGATTTAATATGAGTACACAGTATGCGGGCCAAGTAACATAATTATGAGCACTTCGCCATCACCTCTTACGTGAGTAGTACGACAAAATAAGAAAGGTGGATTTAGTCTGTGCTCGTGTGAAACCCTTACAAACAAACAAACAAACAAATCAAGTGTTTACTTACCTTGATCAATCTTATTGTGTGCTACTGCTGCTTCCTGATAATTGGCACCTCTTGGTATGGACCAGTGCATCAAAGTTTGGCACTAACGACTGAGCTGTAGCAACCTTCAGTACTGAATTAAGGTGAGCATCAGTAAGTTGAGACCGAAGCCGAGACTTGTTCAAGTTCATCACAGAAAAGAGTTGTTCACAGACATATGTACTTCCCGAGCATTGACATAATCTTTGAGGCAAAACATTTAATCCTGGGATAATTTGGTCCAAAATGTTGATAAAATGTGCCAACATCAACACTCGAAAACTTGTTCCTCAACACAGAATCACACTGGAGCTCAATTAATTCTAACTGAAGATCTTCTCATACCTCAGTAATACCAACAGAGTATGGGCCCCGAAAAATGAAAAAATCCTTCTCAAGTCTTTTCAAATCAGCAAATCTGTCTTGGAACTCATTCATTAATTTGGAAATCTTGATGCAGTACTTTTTTGTGATGATATCAGCATGAAACTCAGGTGTGCCTTGCATGGACTTCAAGGTTGGAAAGCGAG